GCGATATCGATCTCCTTCATGCATAATCGGCACTTGGCTCTGAACTTCTTTTCGGGCATCGATAAAATCCATTCTTTATAAGCTTGATTATCCATCCATTGGGGATTAAAATAGCACTTCCCAGGCATAACTAGTCTAAACTACATAACACAAATACGAAGCCGTGCCTTTGCGAATACGCTTTACAATAAAGTTTTGAAATGACGCAAACGTAAGGACAAGTGCGGATGGTAAAACTGCAAATTTATTGAAAACAACAAGGTACATATTGTTACGAAATTCAAGAGTATTCCAGTTTCGATAAGAAAAAAGATCTAAGCATATGCGACAGAAGATGAAGTGGAGTCTCGCCCCAAACGCATTGATTGTCTACTGTGCTCCGCGCGCTTGGCAGACACCAAGACGCTAGGTCCGGTTAGAAACAGTGGCGTTAAAAACCACGCGAGAGAGCTCGGGAACAAAACAGAAAGAACGAGAAAGATCCGTGGGTGTTTTAAAAAAAGGGCCGCCGGCAGTATTGGACAAATTCACAAGGACCTAACAAGTTTTTCAAGGACCTAAGACGTTTTTCAAGCACTTTCAAGGACCTAAATTTAGCAAAAAAAAATTCAAGGACTCTCAAGGACCGTGGGAACCCTGAAAGGAAATGTTTGACTTAAAACAGAAGATGTAGAGACTTTCTCTAAGTGATACTTTTCAATATTCAGGCCGCTTCCCCCTTTTTTCTAAGGTGAGATCAGAGAGGCTACTGGCTATTAATAGAAATTTTTTAATGGCCTTCTTTAGCATTTGGTTGCTGTTCTACAGGGACTCTAAACTTTATGCTCACAAACATGCATTGACTATTTTTCTTTTAAATGTGTTTGAACACCTTTCTATTAAAAAAAATGCCTATCTGTATTAAAATGCATTAGTATTATTGTTGCTTTTTAATCTTCATTTGACCATTTTTGATTTCTCAAGTTTAGGCTGTTTAAATGATAATGCACAAAATTTTTTTGGGCATTCTAATAGGTATTAGAAGACTGACCAGAAAAGTTTAAAAAATAATTAAATTTTTATTTTATTTTATTGTAATGGAAGTTGTTCCAGTTTTTATGGTGTAGGCATATTCATTGAAGTTTCTGTGAAGATTTTGGTTGCAGTAGTAATGATTTTTGGCACATATGCACTTCTTACGATAGAGGGATTTATTCCAGAGAATTAGACAAAATTATTTCGAAAAAAGAATTCAATATTATTTATTAAAGAAATATTATTACTAGATACGTTAGGGCCAGAACGATATCACATAATGAAAAGATACTAGCTTATCGGGATGAAGAGATGCATTATTCTCACTATTCAGCATCTGTCAAGAAGATTTTCGTAAAGTTAATTAACAGTCGCACTGAGGGGAGAAACCCCCCCTCCTAATGCCAAGAATTCAAAATTAAAATTGATTGATTTGTTCCCAAAAGACAGTAAGGTGCACGGGAAGAGATCCATAGGTGGCAATTTATCGAATGATAAAATAGCCAAAAACATGCAGTGAATTAATGTATTGAATTAAAAGTTTTACATTTGTATTGAATTAAAAAGTTAACTGTTACAATGATTGTTAAGAAAAGAATAAAATATTTAGACAGTAGAGTCCCGATTATCCAAGCCCCGGTTATCCGAGTTTCCGCTTTAACCGAGCTATCAAATATTTCAAGGATTTTTTTTGTTCTAGTTTATTTTTAAAAAAAAACCGCTTAAAAATAAATCTGAATTTTATCTTCCAAACACTCAGAAAAACAAAATCCAACAACTTGGTCTGATGAAATTATCGTTAATCGTCAATAATGATAATGAATCTAGCGAAAATGATGAAGACAGTGATTATTAAAATCAACACATAAAAATCTCTCATACAGATGGACTAAAAGCTATCGAATGTACTATTGAAATTTCTGAACAACAAAAAGAGGCGACACCAGCCTTCTTGTTATCCCTAAAAAAGGCGAAACATTACAGAAAAGCGCCAAAGTTACATAGAACGAAAAATGATTGAGGACTTTTTTTTTAAGTAAAAACTATTTAATTCTCGTAAAGTATGCTTTTTAAATGTTTTTAAGTAAGCTTTTTAATTATAATATGAATTGTATGTGGTATACTCGTATACATTTTGTATTTCTTAAATATATTACATTTATACCTTTTCTTTTTCTTTCCGTTTTTATACTCTTCGCTTTAACCGAGTTTTTCAGTTATCCGAGTTTGCTGCGGTCCCCATTAACTCGGATAATCGGGACTCTACTGTATTTGCTTTTTATAAAATAAAATTTAAAAATTAAATAATTGCTTTAATTTAACTAAAACTAGATTAAGAATGATTAATATGTAATGCCTACTATGGATAGGAAATATGTAATGCCTATTATGACATCGCATATCTATAATTTGATTTTATTCGTAAATTATTTCAAAAAGTAAATACGATAGAAGTCCATTATAAGGAAAATTGAAAACAGCAGCTTGAATTGTTATTAAAGCAAGCTTTTCATCACAAGCAAATATGTATACTTAATGTTAAAATAGCAATAAAAAAAAGATATGAGTTTAATAGCATGCATTAGTTTTCAAATTCATTGATTACACAAAATATTGTCAAAAAGGAAAATAAAGGTGCATAGAATATGAGATAAACCAAAGATCATGCATGAGAATCCCTAAAAATAGCAGAGGAATTTTTATTTGTAAGGCTTTACAAACATAAATAAGGTGAAATTATGTTCATTTTTGCTTTCTTGTATTGATTAATAATTAAATATGACTTAGTTTGCCCTTTTTCATGCAAAAGGGGTAATTTAAAAATAAGATAAATGCATTTCCTTAAAAAAAAAAAAACTATTGGTATAGCAGCATACTTGCCAACTTAAAAAAAACTGGCACCAGTAAAACTTTTTTTATGAAAAATTTTACAAAGACTATTCGAATTATTTAATAAGTAACAATACATCACAAATGAATAATAAATATATTGATTATAGAATCTATCATATGAATGAATGTTGATGAAATGAGAAGCAAATTTTCATTAAATTTTTAAATTGCATTTGTTAGAAAATGTACAGAAATATCTAATCAACCATCCATTTATCATCTCAAATTCTATTACAATTATTTCAAATTCTATTATCAATTCTATTATAATGTATATATACTTACTTTTTAAAAAAATGCTATATGCAAAATAAAATAGTTCTTTAAGGGTTTTCTTCTAAATCAACAGCAAAAGAGGATGCTGAAAAAGAAGCTGAAGTAGCCTTCTTTGCTTTAATTAAAAAATCTTTTTCAAACACTTGTTCGTGACAGATTTTAGAAAATTTGGTTTTTAATTTAAGCAGGATTTCTAAAGTTTTATTAGACATAATTGTTCGTGATTCAGTACAGTTCTTTCTAACCAAACTAAAAATTCTCTCACATTCTGAATTTGAATGAGGTATGAGAAGAATTGGATGCCCGGTGGCTGAGCGGTAGCGCTTCGCGCTGCCGTGCCACAGGTCCTTGGTTCGATCCTTGGGCCGGGCAAGGCCGACTCAGCCTTTCATCCCTTCAGTGGGTCGATAAAATGAGTACCAAGCATGCTTGGGAACTAACACTGGGGGTTCCGCGTTCGGCTGACCACCTGACCGGAACATATGCTCCTGCACCCCAGAGCCGAAGGTCAAGAAAACTGAGATGGGCACAGTCGGCCTTGGCCCTCTTAATGGGCTGTCGCGCCACTGAGTTAGTTAGTTTTATGAGAAGAATTGACAAGACAATGTTTCCCAATTTTTCATATTTAAGCATGCTATCCACACCTTTCATTTGACTTATCATTGACCACTGCACATCAATTGATCTGTCTGGAACAGTTATTTCACTTAAATCTTCTAACCGAAGTTGGCAAAACTGTTTCTGCAGTTCATCCATTGCTGTAGGCTTGGTTTCATTACTTTTTGTTTTCAATTTTATTCAAGTCAGCATGTTTGAGTACTTGATCATTTAAAGGGAATTTCTTAACAATATATTCACAGGCAGTTATGAAATATTTGATAACAGCTGAATAAAAGAATGATTTTTCTTTTTCCGAAGAATTTCAAATTAAGTCCCATTGCTGCACTGCCTATAACTAAATTTTGCTGATCTTTATGGTTGAAAGAAGAATGAAAATTAACACATGTTAACTCTTTTCCTTTAACCTCAGAAGGTTTAAAAAATTTGGAAAAAAGTTCTTTTAACAGATCCAAAAGAAGAGCTCTTAACCGATGAATTTGTGGGGAAGATGACTGCAAAATCACATTTACCTTTTCAAATGTAGGGATAATACTTAAAAGAAATAAACTGAAGCACTTATTTAAATTTGAAGATAAAAACATAAAAATTTTCTCTTCTTTGGATAAAGTTGAATCTTTTTTAGCTTTATTTCTTTTAATCAGAATCGCACTTTCTTGCTGTAAACTTTTCCTTCTTTTACCATTAGTTGGGTCCTGTTTATGTGTTAAAAGCTGTTTCATTATTGCACAAGTCTTAGTTTCCACTTTAGGCACTGCAGGTTTATCCTTTAATTTATCTACTCCTGTGCTGCTTTCTTTATCAACTACTTTTGGAATTTTGAAAAATGACAAAGTAGATGATACAGACACACTGCAAGTAGAAACTTCAGCTCTAAAATAACTCACAAGTGGATCCCACTGATTAACCAAGCGTGTAAGACTTCTCTCTAACGATAACCAGCAAGTTGACACATGTTAAAGAACTTTTTGTGCTTCTTTACCATACATTTCCTGAAATTTCTTCAGACAGTCCTTACGATTAACACTCTTTTTTAAATGGTAAAAAATATCTACCAAAACTTCATCTATTCTAACGGGAAAAGTTGCAGCAGCTTTTTCAGAGGCAAGATGTATTAAATGGCAGCAGCATCCAATTGATATTATGTGCTCATTTTCTTTTTCTAAAAATGAAATCACACCATTTTTCTTTTCCTGCATAACAGAAGCATTATCTGCACTGAATGCTATGCAATTTCTAAAAGGAATGTCATATTTAACAAACACATTTAAAAGAAGGGAGCTTATATGCTCACCTGTGGAGTTTTCTTCCAAATTTGGGATTGCCAATAAAGTACTTTCAATGCATTGAAGATCCACGTTAAAATAACTCACCACAACTGGGTACAACTTATCAGCTTCGTGAGTACCATCACATGCTGCAGTAAATGCTTGTTCTTGCAAATATTTAATAATTTCTGAAGTTTGATCCATAGCCATTTCATGGACAAGGGATGCAGTTTTGGTTTTAGCACATCCATAACGTTTCGCAATTTCACTTTACGGAAACATCTTTCGAAAAAGCGAACCCACATGGCTGGTGGCATTTAGCGGAACATTATGCTCCACTAAAAAAGAGGTAAACAATAACTCAGCACGCATTACTTCATCTTGGACATTATCAGGTGGCTTAAAAATTTTGCTTAGTCTTTGGTTATTTTCAGCGCTTTCAATGTTCTTGGCATGATTCGGTCCGGTCACGTGGCGATGTATATAATTTTTACCTCCGTGCGATATTAGAAAGTCAGAAAAACAAATCATACAATAAGCATACTTTTCTCCTTTATTAGATTTTTTTATGCATGTAAACTCTGCAGTATAAGAATTCTTAGATGACTAAAAAAAAGTTTTCTTCGGTTTCATTTTTAACGCACACCACGTGATTACAAGCTACATAGTAGTCGACAGTTCAGTACCGTTTTCGTTTGTTACCGAGGGAGGGAGAACGGCGTTTAGATCGGCTAGTTCGGTGACGTAGTTGAAACGGGAAGTGGCAATAATGACAGAAACAGCGCAATCACTAGAGGAGACTGGAAGCAGTTAGGAGGGAGAAAGGAAAGGAAGAAAAACCAATCAACTGGTTTACACGCAACGTGCCGTTACTACGGTTACGAGGATAAGCCACTTATACGGGGTGTGTGGTTACCGTGTTGCTTTGGAATAGACCGAAAAACTCGCGTCATTTTTTCTGTTTTCCCCCATTACAAACGGTTTTACTCTAGCTCCGTAGCAGCTGATAATCGCGGAATTTTGCCGATGCGCTAATCATGCAATGTTAAAAACGGGGGACCCTTACAAATTTCAGGTTAATCCGTAGGCCCGTAAAATTAGACGTAAATCCTTACATTTCACAGATAATTCGTAAAAGTTGGCAAGTGTGTAGCAGTAGTCTGGTAATTTTTACTTTGTTATAAACATAAAAAGTTAGTATTTTTTAGATAAGCATTTTGAGAGTGTCTTGGAAGCTTATGATAACAGAATTCTTGTAATATGCATTACTCCTCACATCAGGCTTTTATATTATTAACAGATTAATACATTAACAATAGAGATAGAGTATTATTTACCTCATCCAACAGAATTGTAATTGTGCTTTGCTCACATTATCAACACTACATTGTAATAAATGTAAGTTATTACATTATTTAAAGATTATAATTTTTTATGTAAATAAAGATATTGCTTAAAAATGATGTTGCTTATGACATAATAGTAAAATGTAAACCGCTGAATTTACAAGACATACTCACATGTACCAACACCAGGGACAGCGCATGCGGATAAGCTCATGTGCATGTTTGAAACTTGGCCTATATCCGAGGACAACACTAAATATTCTGAATTTGTAGGGTACTTCATGTTTAACAACATCTGCTAGAGAAGAAGGCTTTACATTTTCATGTCCATCAGTCACTGAAAATAAAGATTTCTTTTACATTTATGGGTTATGAATCACACAGTAAATAACTAAACCAGTAGTAACCAATATATTCGCATTATTTTGGGTCAAAATAAATTGACAGGTACAATTTAATTGATCGATTGTTTAGTGCATATTTTAGAAAATATTAAAAAAAGAATATTTTTTAACAATATTTTTAATCCACATGATATGTATCACTATCTTAAGAAAGGGAGTAATTTAATGTTTATATCCATCGATTTTAAAGCGGTAAGATATGAATTTTATTATGCCATGGACATATTACACAGAGATACCAAGGACCATCAAGATATAAAATGTAAAATAATATGCTGCCAGAGATCTTAACTTAAATTTATGCTCCAGACAGTGGATAAATATTTTCAAGAGGTAGTCTTTTAATTACGATTCTTGTTATAGTAAATTCAATTTATTGGGTTTTTACTCGCCACTACTTCTGTTGTTGTTGTGTCCTATCTTTCAGGATCTAGCGACAGCTAGATTAAATCCATAAGACCGTGAATTCTAGCAAAGTCGAGCACCAGAAGTGGGCTATCACGGATATCCGCAAGAGCAAGCAATTGAGGATATGATCGGGGGAAGCCGGTATCAGATGGCACTTGGTGCACGTTGCGAAGACTTTGCGACCGCATTCAAACGTCATGCATGTTAGGTGCCCACTGATAAGTCTTGAGGCGGTCGTTTCAGACTGTCTGTCAGCCTCAAGATCCAATGCGCATCCCGGTCTTTTCCCACAGAACCAGGGATGGGCAGGAGGGGAGAGCCAGATATGCCGGTCTCTATTTTTCGTCATTGAGAAAATCTCTTGAAAAGTGAGGTCATAGTCGGTAGTTGCCATTTCAGAGCAGCCTCTTTTAGCCAAGATATCCGCAACTTCGTTACCAGGGACGTTGACGTGAGAGGGGATCCACTGAAACTGGACCTCCCTACGATTTGCTAGAATCTTGAGCATATTGATTATTTGAATGCTAACGAGGTCTTTTACTTGACTCCAGTCCTGTAGATGTTGAATCGAGCTGCGGCTATCTGTGAGAATCTAAATATCGCTAGAGTCAGTGGAGTGGAGGATGGTTTATAAACCCTCCTCAATAGCTATTAATTCACCCCAAGTACCAAGCACTACTTCTAAATAATTCAATGGCTTATGTGATACGCCACTTTGATACAGTTAAACCAAATTGAACCTTTTTAAAAGTTGGCAAAATTAACCAAAAATCTGAACATCTTAGTTTGTAGCTCTGTACTGTTTTTTGAAAATATTTTGTCAAATCCTGAGCAGTTGGCCTCTTAGAATAAACACCCTGAAACGACAAGGGCATACTTTGTATGGTTTTGGAGGCAAATTAAGTCACCCACCTTTTATGACACCTATTTCATGTGTTTTGATTTTAAAAAAATTTCATTCGATTACAAAGGGCAATCAACATAAATTTTTTTCTAACAAGTCCGTAGAAAGTCAATTTCTTTACCCTCCCTAACGGTTGCACATGTGAAAAAATTAACCCCATTTTCTAACCACAAAAGTCCCTGTACATAAAAAAGCATAATTTTTTTTTTGTTGCCATAAAGCATCTATCCATCTAGAATTAGATCGAAGAAAAATGACCTTAAACACCATATTTTTCTGATTGAAGGTCAGGGATAATTAACCTAAACCAAAGTTGTCTAAAAATAGATAAGTAGGAACTTTATTTACATCGCACAAGAACAAAGGGTTATTGGCGACAGTCTGGGAAACATCCCTGAGGATGATCTGAAGACATGTCCAGGGGTGATTGTGAGTTCAAGTCAAAATTCCAGAAAATTTCTTGAGTCAGAAAAAAAACAAGTTTAAATTGAAAAATTAGAAGAAAAAAAAAATTAAAACAAGTTTTTTTTCCTGTTTCTCAATATTTTTTAGTTTACTTAAAATATATGTAAAATTTAACACTTACCTATGATGGCGTGCAGAAGTAATTGAAATTTTCAAATATGTCTTTCTTTCATGAGTTTATGATTATAATAACTATTTACTGATAAAAAATGAATGTTAATCATGAATATAAGCTTCTCTCCGGCTCTTCCATACAAACAAATAAAATAAATTGTGTTTTTAAGTTCCATCTTTGAAAATGTGATTTCCGGAAACTTCTGTGATCATTGATTTTTTTAAATGTCTGGACCTTCGATCTCCGGATCAATGTTAGCGAAAAATCCGGAAATTCGGGATTTTTCCGGAGCACAATTACCCCTGCATGTCATCCCAATTTTTATCCTCTGCACAAAGGATGGCTCTCCTGCTTTGATAGCCCAACGACCTTCGTTGGGCAAGCTGATCATAGTGGTCACCCACCCGCCCGCTGCCAGTGTTCGACTGGGAACCGTTTCTTTACAATCAGTCCACTGTTAGATGTCAAAAAATAGTGTGAACTGTATTAAGAATGAAAATGTCAAAACCACCAGTAGGTTAAAAGTATGAACAAAACTAGAAATTCTGTTACAAAAGTGATGAACAGAGTATCATACCTGAGACAGCAGAGATGGAAGTCCACCAATCCTCAGGAGTATCACTTGTAAAAGGTGGCAACGAAGTCTCCACAGCTTGACTGGCTGAAATATTATAAATGTATTATATTCATGCAAAACAAACAACAAAATTATATTCATGTAAAAATCTATGTAAATAAGTCAAAGTATAGGGCAAAATTAAGTATCACCTTTGGACACAAGGGAACTAAATATTTGATATGATAAATTGTTTCTAAAACCCTTTCTTAAACTACTTAAATGAAAAATTTGTGTTGGGCACTCTTCCTAAAAAGGTTTTCCACCCCTGGCCTAAAGCATCTAAAGTGTTGGTAAATTTGAAATTCTTATGTATTTCAAAAATTTCTTTAATTTTTAAATATAATCGTCACTACAAAAAGGCATGCGAGAAAATTTCAGATCTTTACAACACTTAGAAGTAAGTAAAAAAATTTATAGCACGCTTGCAACAAAGTAAAAGTTAATAAAAAAAAAGTTTGCAATGGAAAAAAAATTACTGTACCACAATTAAAAAAAATGCTGACATTTTCACTCAACATAGCTTTGGTCTGAGTTTCAAACTCTTCTGCATCAGCAATGATTTTTCCAAGTCTTCTGTAATTGGAAACAATGTACATTTAAGTAAAACTTTCATTTACAAGTATATATATATATA